TCTTGAGCTCTTCTGTGGCACGGGAAAGCAGAGAACCTCTTCTTGTGAGCTCTGAATCAGCAGCAGCAGTGGTTGCCAGCCAGACTGTAAGTGCAGCAGAGTGGACAGGCTGGCTCGCCTGGTTTGTGGCACTGTGTGTTTTGAAACCTGTCTGTACACTCAGGCACACCCAAGATTCCAAGTCAGTTAAGGTCCTGTCTGTCTAACGAGCCGCAAATGTGTAAGATTAGGCCATAATTTAGCTGGGGAGGTATCAGAATTGCCCATTTCTCTGTGGTTTATTACAAAAAATAGCTGACCCCTGCCCAACTGCCTTTCCACAGGAAAGGAAGTTCAGCTTTTGTGTTGGTGTCACCTCAGCTGTTTGAAATAAGCAAATAAGCAAACAGAAATTGTGCAGCTTTGTCTTTACCCTTATTCCTCTTATTTCCCTCACTTTGGTGGTGCAAAGGACAAGGATGTGGGTATGGAGTGAGGGGTTTTGCTGTTTCATGGTCCATTTCCTGCTGTCTTTCAGGTAACAAACTGCCTGATGTTCTTCCAGCTATCCCTCTAGTGGGATTCGGTGAGACTGCACATGCTGGTAACGTGCTCACCCTCAAGCAGGAAAACTGGCTGTGGAATCACCCACAGATTCACTCCTGTGAGAGGCAAGAAGTATTTGCTCTCCTGGATGATGCTTGTGCTCTCTGGGACGAGGTGGCAGGCTGAAACACTGCCTACATCAGCCCTGCAGAGCTGCTCTAGTCCATTCTACACCCCAAAAGCAGGATCACTCTGTACAGGGACTCCCTTCCTCTCAAGACAATCTATCCTAGCATTAAGGTGTCCTTACTTGGTGTGAGTTTTCATAACATCCAACCAAGATCTCCCTCACTCCATGAACAAGTGGTAAGCTCTGACATACCAGGCTCTTCTACCAGTTCTCTGAAGCTCAGACATTTGTTGCTGACTCCAAGTACTTGTGGGGTAAGGAAGGGGTGTCTGAGCCCTCGATTCCTCCCACCAGATGGAAGGGAGATGTTGGGAACCCTGCCTCACCTTGTGGCCTATCTGCTACTGAGAGAAGAGAGCACTTCTGAAGAATCAACAGTGGTTCCCTATCAACCAAACACAAACTTGGCCTTCTAACGACAAAGGACTCATCCCTGTGACTGGGGGCTCGGTCTCTTGGTCACAGCTATCTAAAAACACAGACTAAGCTTTCATGCTGCCTCCTCAGAGGAATGGGGGGGGTTATTTTTGTGTCAATGAAGCACTCAGGGCTGTTGGTGAAACCCCTGGCTTTGCACGTTAATGCCTTCTCAGTTAATGATTATTGACAAGTTACCAGCTTCCTAGAGGCTGAAATATGACAATGAAACTATAAAACTGAAACTGAACTTACTTCCTTAGAGGAAAGAAGCAGTGCAAAGGGAAATCAGGAATCCCTAAAGCTGCAGTGACTCAAGGGCTTCTGTCAGCCCATGCCCAGAATTTCACTGTGTAACTGAGAATGCAAGAACAATTCTCACCACAGATTTACAAGCAACTTGCTTAAGCAGTTTTAAAGTCCTCAGTGCAAACAGTTCCAGCAATCATATTTGTCTACATATAGAAGCCTATTTTTGTATGTATGTCTTGTAAATACCAAGCAGCCAGTGTTTCCCCCAAGCACAAACTGAAAAATACTCCCTTCTTGCCAAAAATTCATTCAGAATGACACAGAAAGACATTAAAGTCACTCACCAAGTTTCAAACTACGCCAGCATCTTTGCATAGTTACTTGTTAACTATGCATAGCATCTTTGTTAACCCTGCTCTTTCTTGCAGTTGTAAAACTACCTGATCCTGCAGCTCTGAAAGACCAGCACATTTTTGCCTCAGGGCTCTTTGATCTTGTAGGTGAGTTACTTTGCTCCAGGTCCTGCAACCTGGAGGAGAGTGAGCAAAAGGAATGTTAGAGGATATGGATGGAAGGCTTAGCAAATTGAATGCTTCTAGGCATAAGGAAACAAATTGCTTCTGAAAAGATTTACCTCTGACGTAGCAGTTCTCAGGCCTCAGTGCAGGATGCCATATACAAGATTAATCCATGCTCGGATGGATTAATCCACATCGAATGGGTCACCTGACATAGGATGTATCATCCCTAAATTACATCATTAAAAGCCCAAATTCGAGCTACTCATCCAGGGTTCTTTTTATAGTCCACAGAAGGAGATGCTTATACCCAGAGAGGTGATTCATCCTACAAGAACTCACGTCAGGCAGGCACAATCTACAGTGACTTTGCTCTAGTTTCTGTGGTTCAGGTTTGCCACGTGAAGAACAAGTAACAAAGGTTTTGCATTTCCCTAAAAACTACACCAAGGCATTTGGAAAATAAGGATCAACTGTTAAAAATATGCAGGTTGATGGCTGACTAGCTATTGCTTTTGAAAAGGAATGCCTCAAGTAACCTCACGGTGAGTTCACTGGGTTATGAGGGCATCCTACTAAGGTATATAAATACAGATTTCCCCCATGATTTAAATGAAACAGAGCAGCTGTTAAAACAAAGGTTAGAAAGGCTTTAAATAGCCCGTGGCAGTTTGTGTCAAAAGCAATGATTACATGATATTCTCTTGGTGGAAATAAACATCTAAGCCATGGGTTTGCAGAAATTAGGCTCTTGGATAACTCTTAAGGAGCCTCACGCTGTGATGGAAACAGGCTGCACTTCCACTTTGTAACTGTAGAAGGTCAACAGCCCTTTAGTGCCAGGCTGGAGAATGGGTGATGTCAGTACAATACTGTCTCTAGGCTTTCTTCCTCTGCATGCACGCTCCCTGCAGTACTCCACAACAGCTTCCAGTCTCCAGAGCGAGAGGACATTGGGGCAACCACCACCTGGAACACAGCTGAGCTTAAATATTCCCTCATCCTGACACAGCATGCACCAGACAAGTAACTCAAGCCCATCTGTGCCCTTCAGCCTACTGTGTACTACTTAAAGGTTACTTATTAAACACCAGAGCTCTTTACCTATAGTAGCTTAAGGGTTATTTTTCAACCTGAGTGGAAGCAACTCATCAGAGCGTGGTAGCTGAGCCATAGACCAGGCTTTTCTTTGATTTTGGAAGCTGGGGCTACACTCATCCCATCTCATCCAGCCTGGAGCCATTTGGAATAAGAAGCCCCACAGTGACGGCTGCTCTTTCCCCAAAGATGAGACTTCAAAAGCAAAGAGAACAGGCCAAAGTGAACCAGCAAAGGTTGCTCACAGGTTTACAACCAGTCTTAGCAAGAGTCCTGAACTGCAGGACTCTTCCAAGCAGCAGCAACAATCTGAGGTGCACTAAACTCACAGCACTAGATACAGGTTTCTTGTTCTAAGCTTAATACCGCCAAAGCTTCCTGTGTCCAGTGACAAATCCACAGAGGGATTCACATTTAAGGGGCTTCACACTGTAGCCATCCTTCAGCACACGATGGTAGGTTTGGACATTGAAGAACTTTAGTAGTTATGGACAGAAGTAACACAGGGGGATTATCTTCATTATGTTTTGAATTCAGAGGGGCTCTTTCACATATCAGGAAGTCACTTCTCTCTTTAATTTCTTATTTTAACTTCACAACTAAAAGGACTTAAGAACATTCTCACTTCCCTCCCAAACCAGAGCCCTTCTGCTGTCTCCTTAGGTGATAGTTACATGTACAAAAAAAGGCACAAAAGCTGACAGATAGGCTCAGAAAACCTTTACCACTCCAAATTCTGTTCCTGAGCTGTTTAAACCATAATTTAAGTGCTTGCTTTCAAGTGTTGCACTGATGTGTTCTGCTTATTCCATCCTATTTCTTTCTTTACTGAAATACCCCATTCCCTCCAACCTACCCCTGAAGTAGGTTAGATATTGTGCAGGACACAGCTCCAGCCCAGCACTGGAGGAGTGATGAACTCCAAGGCTGGGTTCTTTCCATAGATATATTCAATAACACAAAATTCAGAGCAAACCACACAGGTAAAAAAAACGACTACAAGAGAAATCAGGTTAAAAACCATCTTACAGGGAAGATGGACAATCTATTAGCCCTTAGTAAGCTAGACAATCATTGTACACAAAAACAAGCTGTACAAAACCAAAAGGAGGTGGCAGAGAGATCTGTGAGGCTTTCTGCACTTTTATTCTTCTGGTCCAACATATCTTCTGATCTCATTCCAAGAAAGCTTCAAGGACATGTCAGAACAGCCACAAATTCATCTCTGGGATGTGCAGAATTCAAACAGATTTACATAGAGATAAAATTGCAAAGGTAAAAACAAAACTAAAGGCCAGGATCATGGGTTAAAATATTCTTTCCAAGTCCAAGATACTACACTCTGGGTATAGCTGAAAGCATATGCCGTACTTTTATAACCTGCTACAGTCTTTTCTGACTGAGAAAAGGGTTTATTTGTTGAAGAACAGTAAAGGAGGATCCTTCTGGTGAACATTTTCCTTTCCACTGCATTTGCTGACAGACTTGCTCATCCCATGACTTCCTGTATCTCCTCCACTCCTCGCTCTTCCCCCTGGTTACTCGCTCTACTACAGCAAAAACCCTCTTGGCTCTCACCCTGCCTTTGACAGAACATGGAAGCAGGATCAGTTCAAAAGGAGTTTGAGCTCAGGGACTGGAGAGAGGTACTTATAGGATGCTGAATGCATTAGGGATATACTTCCTGGCTAAGTTACAAACTGGTGTCTCAGCCACCAGCCTAAGCCACCTATATTGACTCCAGCAAAAGGAGCATCGTCTTGAGGAATCTGAAAAGCCACTGATTAACCCCTTCCAAACATGTTTCCCAGGTTAAGGAAGGCCCAAGATCGTGTGCTTTGTCTACAACCCACAATGGCCAGAAATGCTATTCACAAAAAGCCCCTCAGATGGGAAGAGGCCAAAGGAAAGGAGGATGTTCCTTGAACAATCAATGCCACCGAGCTTGGCTTTATGTATCCGAACTGAAACATTTTGTTTTGTAGGTACAGCATCTCTTGCTGTGGAATTTCTACCTAGACATCACGATGCTGACTCCAGACAGGCAACGTGACAGAATCCAGTCCCATCCCTAGCCATGGCTGTGGTTAAGTTGTCTTGGGTGCTGGGATGGAGGGTGACAGTGGTGTCCTGGACAGCGATCCGTTTTCTAACCAGTGTTCATAGCTGGTCTTGGGTCTGTTTTGGAGATGGAGCTGTTGTCACAACCACAGTGGAAACTGCTTTAGTGGAGCCAGACACTGTTCCCTGCTGGAGGTGGGAGGCTGGAACTGTTTGGATTCGCACCTGTTTGAAATGGAAAGGGAAAAGCTCAGCTCCTGTCAAGAACAACCCGGTGACACACTGCACTCGCGTCACGCTCTGAAGCACATCATCTGCTTCTGCTGCCAGCAAACACCGACTTTGATGAACAAGATCAAGCACCAAAACGCTTCAAGAACAGAATCTGTCACAAGGAGATCACTCCATCTACTGTTCATGTGGGATGGTGGGAAGAGATTTCAGGATTAGAGTTGAAGACCTAAAAACGAGCTGGAATAAAAACCTACATGTCAGGAATAAAAACCTACATGCTTTTACAAGGTTTCTAAAGAAGGACTTGGATCCATTGGATCCAACACTTACCAGACTTGTTTCTAGCAGCACTCAATGAAGATTAATTCTTTGGAATTACAGAACACTTAAGTTTCCAAACACTAAGATGGACACTGAGGCAGTGTTGTGGTTTCTTCAGGAAATGGTGATCTACAGAAGCCAAAGTACGTATAGAAACGATCCTTCAAGCAGTTGGGAACATCTCCTGGCAGGAGTTTTGGGTTTACTTCCATTATACTATCAGCACATCAAAACCCATATGTGGATGGAGGGAAGGTAAAGGAGATGATGCACTGTACATGATTAATGCAGACACTACTGCTGTCTACCTGTACTTTGATGGAACCCCGCATGTCAAAGTGATTTAAAATCCACATGGAAATGCTAAATCCTAATAAAGCAAATAATAATCCTCAGTGCAGCTACCATTACCTGCGTGGCCTGGCCTTGCTGCTGGAGCTGCTGGAGCTGCTGTGCAGTCAGGAAACTCACAGGCTTGTTCCCAGCGATCAGTTTTGTCCCTGCTGGCATCGTAGTCAGGATGATATTTCTTCCTAATCCACTGATGCTAAGGAAGGAGAAGTTGGAATGGTTAGTGAACAGCACAGCAGGGTAGATCTTTCACATTCACAAGTTGTTCTTCACTTGCTAGATGTTAATTACTTAGCTAATTTATTAATGATTTTAAGTAGTGTTTTCCCCACAAAACTGGCCAATAAACAAGTGACAAGTTTATCACTGTTGTAGTTACTTTATCACACGAATTAATCTCCACTCCTGTACCATGCACATCACTGGGTTACTCTGATCTGACCACAGCACTTCTGGAGGAACACGGAAATAGCCAAGCACAAAGTACTGTGCCTTCAAATGTTTTCTAAGAGAGACACGACCAGAATTCATGGAAGAATAAAGGAAAAGACTTCAATATCTGAATGCCAGAGGGATTTTCACTAAGGCACTTCACACTTCCCCGGTTTCTTCAGCAGAGATGGCTTCAGTTTACATGTGTTTTTAGGCATGTCACCAGGTTAACCCTTGCTCCAACAGAACTAATCTAATAGCTGGTTTCAAGGCAAAGATCAATTTTTCTTCAGTGTATTTGCCAGTCTGTGTCTCAGGGCACCTAAACAAAGACTATTCTCATTGCCAGACACCATATTCCTTCAGTTCTTGCAGCCAATGGACCTATTGACAGACTGTTACATGTGTTTTTAGGCATGTCACCAGGTTAACCCTTGCTCCAACAGAACTAATCTAATAGCTGGTTTCAAGGCAAAGATCAATTTTTCTTCAGTGTATTTGCCAGTCTGTGTCTCAGGGCACCTAAACAAAGACTATTCTCATTGCCAGACACCATATTCCTTCAGTTCTTGCAGCCAATGGACCTATTGACAGACTGTAGGTCTAGTCCACCTTCTATTCCCCAGGAACTTTTTTTTGAACACAGACCTTCCTTGGCCTATTACTAAAGCAAAACTACCAGGTGCAAAATACTCACTTGGCCCCGAGGTTGCCCTTGATGATGGGGGCAGTCACCACGCTCTTGCCTTTCACTGGCTGGCTGATCACTGACAGAGGCACTGTTATCCGTGCTGGTAGCTTCCCCTAGAGGAGTTGAAGAACACACGAGGAGCCATGGGACATTTGGCAGAGAAACTGCTTGACAACATGCAATTACTGCTCAGCCTGCTTTTTAGGAGCCCTGAGAATAGAATTTTTTTGTGCTCCATTTCAGGCTCATTGCAATTCACCTCCATCTTCACAGACCTGAAAACCTGCAGCATCTTGGCACACAGCATTTCTCTGGGAAGGATCATTGTATCCATGACTTTTACCCTTAGGAAGTAATGCAGCTTTCAAGATACAATTTATGGTGCCTTCTGCTCCAGGCAATAAAATGGCATTACATGGGGAAATTGGTAAAAAGAAGTTAATAAGAGTAACAAGCACTTCTAGTTCTGGCACCATTCCAAAGGAAACGATTCCAGAGGTGCAAGGCTGAGCTGCACAAGGTACAGATAAGCAAAGCTTATTTCAGAGGGAAGACACAGCTGACTATTTCCCCGGTCATTCAGCATTTAGCTCTAATTCCAACACCACCAAACTAGTTACAGACCCAGCTTCCACAGTGCTTTGTGGATGGGTTTTAGACCCAAACCACCAGTATATTTCAGCATTGCCCTCTCTCACCCACCTCCAGAAAAAGGTTAGCATTACTTACTGCCTGGGATGTAGATACTACTGTGGTGCTGACGGGTACCTGCCGCACAGCAGTGGCTCCTGTGCCTATAGTTATGGGTGTCCCAGCAGCTCCCGAGGCCACAGCAACTGCTTTGGACACTGTGGCACTCATGGTTGGTAAGGAGACAGCTGAGGTATGGACTGTGCCAGGCACGCTTACTGCTGAGGAGGAGGGTGCTTGCTTAGTGTGAGTAGCTACAGTAATAGTCTGACCAGCTTTTTGGGGCATCACCCCCAGCCCCTGCACGATTCTTATGGTAGCAGCTGGCTTGGCCTCAGTGGATGCCACCGTGGTGATGGTTTTGCTCTTCTGATCTGCCACAGTCATGCCCAGCGCAGGCATCAGTCGGAAGGCAGAGCTTGTTGGCTCTGCAGTCTTTAAGTCAGGAGTCACTTTAACCACCGTGCTTCCAGCTGGGCTGGAAGAAGCAGAAGTGGCCGTGCTCGTCTTGGCTGGAGAATCAGCAGCCTGGACAGGATTGGATGTCACGTGCAAGGTTGCAGAGATGCCTTTCCCGCTGGTGCTGCTTCCTGCAGCTGCTGTGAAGAGGTCCTGAGTCAGTTTGACAGTAGTGACCTGAGATTTGGCCAGCGTGGCCATCATGTCCGGGGTGATCCGCAGCACAGTCTGGCCCTTGGCATCTGTGGTGATGGAGGAGGGGGGAAGGCGCAACACATCCTTCCCCTGGATCCGAAAATTGGTCGCTGTGAGGGGGATGCCACTTCCAGGCTGGGTCTTCATGCCAAGTTGCCCTGTGATAGCCACCTGGAAGAGACCAGAGCAACGGCTGTATCAAACCAGTCCAAGCAGAACTTCCCTATAGGATGATGTCTGCTCCCATCTGCATTGAAGCAGAATGATGCCAGCACGCAGGTATGCTACTGAAAACAGTCCTGGTGGACTATCAGATGGCATTCCCAAAACCATATACAATCCGGAATACTGTGGAGCTGATTTCTTTTCCAAACAAGAGGAAGGACAGACCAGCATCTGAAGCTGGTTAATTAAAGAACCTGCACTAACACACTGATAACATGTTCTCAACATTATTCTCAGACTAAAGCCAAAACACCAACTGTTAGGAGGAAAATTAACAATATCCCAACCAAAACCAGGACACATCAGTACTCTACACAGTGCAGGCTCCAATACACCAGACCAACAACTACCTAAATCTGCATGGTAAATCAACTCATACAGCACTGTGGCTCACTACAGCTTTATCTTTTCACATCTGCTGTCATATCTGCCATGACAAACAGGAAACAACTGGGTCTCAGAGCCCAGCTCCTTGTCTCTCCCTCTCACCTGCTTGATGATATTCTGGCCAGCCACATTCTGGATGACAGTGGTGGAGGAGGTGCTTGTAGCAGAACTGCCTGGAGAGCTGGTTACTGGCTTGACAGCAGGACTGGGTGCTGCAGACAGCCCTGTCACAGTGATGCCTGTCTGTCCTGTCACAGAGCTTCCTGGTCTTTGCACCTGCATTGGGCTGGTTTGAGTTTTCACTGGGAGAGTCATCACTGCCTACAGCAAGACACACAAGCAGCCTGTGAGTGGACTAACACAATAATAACAGTCTTAATTATTCTTTACGTCGTGCCTTAGCTTGCAAGTTCTATGGACTTTTTTATTATGCTGCTTACTCCAAGTGAAAAACACCACCCAAAAACTAGGAGCAGTCAAGATTAGAAGTCAGAGCTACTCACCACTTCCATGCAGCCAAACTCACCTGAGGGAGCACTTTGGTTTGTGTGGCTGTAGCTGGAACACGAATTTGAGGCACTGATGTAGGTTGCTGCTGCTGGGTTACCACTGGGGCTTGCTGAGACACGGCTGGGAGGCTGGACTGGGCAGTGACCACTCGGACCTGTGGCAGTCCTGAGGACGTGGTGTGACTGACCACCCGGGCAGGAGGTGGCTGTGGCCCAGGCTGTGAACTCTGGGCTGTGGAAAGCAATGTCCCGAGCTGTGGCATGGTAGGGGATGACACCAGAAGAACACTATGGGAAAGATAAAGCCAGTAGGTGAGCAAAGAAGTAGGAAATGACCGAGAAAGGAGCAGCAACATTCACAAGTGATGTATGAGACAGCAGAAATACCTCTGGCTGGGTTTTGCTGGCTCTGGTGCAGCACTAGATATGCTCTTGCTAACCACAGACACTGGAGGGGGTGAAATAGGTGTTGCTGGTAATGCTGGTGCAGTTGGTGTCACGGGAGTCACAGGAGTTGGAGGCATGCTGGAGTCACTCAGGCTCAGCTGGCTGGGCTCTGATGTGCTGCTGGGGACTGCCTTCACTGAACTCTCCTTGCTGCTAGACTTCTGCAAAGAAAGCGTGTGGAGAGTGAAGGTCTTCACAAAAACTGGGTTTGAGTGAGCCGAGCACTTTAAGCTGAGCTCTGGATGGCTATGAATGATGCCCCAGTGCTATATCCTGACCTCACACATGTCTGCCATCCTCAACTGCAGCCACGAGTGGGTTGGTGCATTTGGCTGCTCCTGTTCTCAGGGAAAAAGTGCATCTCAGCTGTGTCAAACATTCATGAAGTGCATATTTGCACCTTGGTTAATATGCCAACAGCAATCACTGATACTTGATATCAAAACCAACAAAAAGACATCCAAACCCTGACAGCTTCAGCACAGCAATGGGGAGAGCAGAAAATGTGTTCCACACACTCTGCTACAGATTGACCTCAACATGAGATCTAAAAGACCATCCCTAAGACAAGCAGCACAAATGAATTCCATTGACCTTTCTGTTGACATCAGTGAGGATAACAGCGGGAGCTGGAGGAGCAAAGTTCAATCTTTCCCTCTTCACTGTGTGTACTGGTGCTAGACCAACACTGACATTCATACACATACTGAATCAATAACTCAAACGTGTGACTTTCACCAGCCACTGTGGACGCAGAATTTAGGGATTAAACGAAGCCTTCTACCTCCCTCCCAATCCCAAAAGCATTTGTGCAAACCTGATTTACCATTTTAGCTGGAGGTTTTGGCTTCTGCTGAAGAGCCTTCTTGGCCTTTGCTGCAGCAGCTTGAGCCTGGTGGATCCGTTCTGCAAATCCAAATGAATGGTTAGAGCTCCTGGACACGAGCAAACTGATTTAAGAGAGGCCAGGTCAGAAACGTAAGTTCATCTTCAGACAAGAAACTAAACACACACGGAGTCATGCAATAGTGCAGAGTGAAAATATCAAGTACAACAAGCCAAAAAAGGCTGAAAATAAGACACACAAGAACTTGTGAATGCATATATATTGTACCCAGGATGCTATTTTACACAGAAGTACTTCCAACTGACACACTCCTCTTGAAGACTGGATTTAAGTGCTGAAGGGCTAACATGAGCAAAGTGACAGAGAAAAAAGCTAGACTGACAGATTAGTGCTCACCAT